TACTCCTTGGCTGCTTGAAGTCTGATGACTGTCCCATAATTCTTGCCCATCTCCTGCCATACTCCTTGGCTGCTGGAAGTCTGAAGATTGTCCCATAATTCCAAGCTCATTTCCAGGGATCATACCAGCATCATTCTCATAGTCTGTCTTGTTCCCTTTCCTAGATTCCTCTGGACATGCAGCTTAGGCCTTACACCAGTTTCCACTGATATCTACTCCTTTCCAAGCCCTTCATCAGTTTTGGAAGAACTCATTCAAGCTGCAGATGGTTGTCAGGAAGGTCACATCACCACTTCCTGCCACCGTCACCCTACATGTTCTTGCTCCCTACCTTCTCATTCGGAAGCATTTGCTGTACCCCAGCCCTCACCCTCTACATTCCTCCAGGCAGAATTAGCTCTCCCTTTCTTCTGAACTCTTAACACTAAAAGAGGTTCGGTGCTCAGCTTCTCTCAAACTTTCTTACACAGACTCACTGACGCTCTTAGCAGAACCCAGGCCTGAGCACTAACAGGACCAATTATCTGTCAGAAGCGGAGAAGATAGAGATAATATGTCCATCACATGCAGCTTTTCTCCATGACAGGGCATCACAGCTGTGTGGTTACATAGCTCACTCCAGATCAAACTCTGTCCCCTGAAATGGAACAAACTCCCAGAGTGAAAATCTAGCAAAAAAGAAGTTAGCCGTTATAAAATGCTTTAGACATATTCTCCACAAGCATTTTATATAAACATTCTAGTTCAATATCTCCAAAAAAGTATACCTAAACTAGTCGAAAATGTTGGAAATCTGGGAAGGGAAATTAAAAAGCCATGTGCTTCTTAAATTTATTTCCCAAACCCTCAAGTATGTTAATGAGGCAAGAAGTGAAAAACAGCAAGTCAGGTTCCCACTTCTCCTATTGAAATGTTATCACAGGGCACCTGAGTGGCTCAGTTGGTTAAGCGACTGCCTTCAGCTCAGGTCATGATCCTGGAGTCCCAGGATTGAGTCCCGCATTGGGCTCCCTGCTCAGCAGGAAGTCTGCTTCTCCCTCTGACGCTCCCCCATCTCATGCTCTCTCTGTCTCTATCTCATTCTCTCTCTC